ACCTCGCCATCCCTGGGGGGCTGCGATCTGGGAAACTGTCGCCACTTTCGAGGCCTGCTTGCGGGGCCCAGCACAGTGACGCCTCCCAAGTAGCTTACACATCAAGTTGATTGTCCATACAAGTTTCGGCCAACTCCTTGTTTCCATTGATACAAGTGGGTTGGGTACGTCACAGGGTAATTTAAGCCTCCAGAGTCCACAACTGACAGCAGCTGTAGGTTTTGAGTGACCCCCTGGGGTTGAAACATGATGCGAAGGGCCCCATAAGGAGGGGGCTCCCGCCTGAGACTTCCCCGCATTTCATTCACAGACACGGCCCCCACCTGAGACATCCTCAAGATTCAAGCCTCGGGGGCCCTGATGATGATGATGATGATGATGATGATGATGATGATAATGGTGAGGATGATGCTGCTGCTGCTGATGATGATGATGATGACGATGATAAGCATGAGTGAGTGACTGCGTGAGTGAGTGAGTGGTGATGGTGATACTGATGGTGATAATGACGATGGTGGTGGTGCTGATGGTGATGATGACGACGATGATGAGGAGCAGGATGATGATGGAAATGGTGATACTGATAATGCTGATGATTGTGTGTTGCACGATAATGTTTTTCTTGGATTGAGTCGCGTCGCTTCCAATATTTAGTGACCCCCCGTCTGCAAACGATCCGTAACGTGAAGGTTCAGAGTTCCTCGAATTGGGCCGCCGTCGGGTGAACCTCGGTGGCGGTGCAGCCCCGGCCTGGGTTGTGCTGTTCCTGGTGGTCGCGCGGGTGGGCTTGGAGGGACGGGCGCCGGCGCCAGTGCCCCCTCCGCCGCCACCGCCGACCCCGCCTCCGCCACCTGCGGCGTCGTGCCCGGAGGGTCCCCCCTCCCGGGCACCCGAGCAGCGCGAGGCGGCCCGACTGGCGTGCGAGGCGTGCTACAAAGCCCTGGCCGCGGCGTTGCTCGGGTCGGCGGGCGCGCAGGCGCTGGGAGGCGGCCTGCGGTGCCTGCGACGACGCGTCCGTCGACCGAGGGTGGCGCCCGCGGCGGAAGGCGATGGAGGCGCCCGCGCTGGCAGCCGTTCGCCGCCGCTTGCCGCCCCAGCGCGACGCGGTGACTGCGTAGATCGCTGCCTGGGGACCGAGCCATCGTGGGGTACGAGGACGACGACGTGCTCCGCGAACTGGTGCTGGTCTGGCCCATAGGCGGCAGCAGCTGGTCCGTGGTTGCCCCGGGCGGCGACGTCTGGGTGGAGGACCTGAGTAGGGGGCCACATGCGAACCCTACCCCTACCCCCCAAGTTTTCTGAGGGGGAGGGTGGGGTTCACTTCGCTTGGGAGCTCCCGAGCGAAGTGAAACCCACCCTCCCCCTCAGAAATCGTGAAGGGGTAGGGGTAGGGTTTGCATGTTGCCCCCTACTGAGCTGCCGCGACCGGGAGACCTGGCCAGGCGAGGCCAGAGCTTGGCAGCCCAGGCCAGCGCGCGGGCCGGCACGAAGGCCTCGCCGCGTCTACCAGCTGAGGCAGCTGGTCCAGGACGCGGAGCCTGAAAGGCGCATCCTGGAGAGCGGGCGAGGCTGCCGCGCCGCAGGAGACCAGCCAGGCCCGTTTGGCAGAATGTGGCGAAAAGGTGAGAAAACCTATGGTTTTCTTACGAACCTGCCTGGGCGCGAGCGCAGGAATTACTGAAAATTGGCGCGGCCAAGCCTTGTGTTGGTTTAAAGTTGCTTCGAGGCGCTCGGCATTCGAATCCGCGCGCAACCCAAGGTTGTTGAAGGATTTTTGGCACGCGCGCGCGACGACGCGCGCGCGCACTTCGCCCCGTTGTCTTGCAAGGGGCTCTTGCGACAACACGCGCGCGAGGGCGTTCGAACGATATCGACGCGCGCGCGAGAGGCCGATTTGGAAGCACGTGAATGAAAAGGTTGAACGACTTATGGTGTTCTTTGGAATTCGCAAGAGCGCAGGCGCAAACTTGTTTGAACGCTCTTGTTGCAAAACCATGTATGTTTGTATTATTCGGGGCTCTCGGATTTGAAATCATTACGAAACTCTGGGTGTTGGAAGGATTCCCGCATGCGCGCGCGACGACGCGCGCACACTTCGTCTCACTTTTTGTTGCATGGGAGTCTTGGACAATGATGGTGTTTGATAATCGAGAGTGCTCGCAGAGCTTTCTTTGCAGAGGATGGCGGGATGGGTCGATACCAGCGTGGCTGGGATGGCATGAGTACATATCTCGCATGGACAAGGGTCAGGATCATATATGGGTTCACCAGCGAAGCCAACAACCGATCAGTCCGGTGGGGATGGCGGTATATTCTAATTTCTGTTAAGAAAGGAGAATTGTTTTCCGCTCGCAGTAAGTGGGCCACCCCACCTGCTCGCATAATTACGGTGAGGGCGTTCGATAAGGAATGTCCCAGGAGGCTTCAGACCCTAATTCGGGGAGTCCTTGTCTGATGAAGGCGGCGGTGATACCACTGACCAAGCCTCAATTGGAGCTCCACTGGCTACCAGACCCTGGATTCCTGATCCAACGGTTCCATATCCAACGCCCTCACCGGATCCCACCCACCCACCCGCAAGTTAGTTCGCAAATTTATGCGGCGGCGAATGCGATGAGTGCTCGGCGTTGGCTAGTGCATCTCTGCGGCCGCGCTAGCCCGCGCATGCTCGCGCGCGCAGCGGCCAGATAGTTTGGCGTCACCAACGCGGCGGCGGTGGCGCTGACAGGTGGGCATTTCCCACCGGGCACTGCAGTGCGAATCGGCGACTTGGGCGGGCGCGGTATCATGGCAACGCTGACACTAGTAGACACGATGATGATGGTGGCGATGTTGGTGACGGTGAGGACAACGACGATTGCCAGGCTTCTGATGGCGCCGATGGTGATCACGCCGTCGACGGCGCTGTCGCGTCGGCGATGAAATTTTTGGAAGGAGTTCGACATGCGCGCGCGGCCGGCGCGCGCGAGTGGCCCGCGTGGCATTGTTTAGCATGGAGCACGCCCTCCCCCCCCCAAAAAAAAAACACGCGCGCGAGGGCATTCGAATGATTTCGACGTGCGGCGCGAGGGGCCCGTTTGGCCGAATTGATTGAAAAAGTTGAAAGCCGACGGCTTGCATTAAGAATTCGCAAAACCGCGAGCGCAGGCATGTTTGAAAAATGATGGTGCAATACCTCGTGTTTGTTTTATATGTTTGCAGGGCACCCGATCTTGAAATCCTTATAAGTTTGTTGCATGATTCCGGCATGCGCGCGCGACGACGCGCGCGTGTGCATTTCGACACGCTGTCGTGCGAGGACTGTTTGCGACAGAACGCGCGCAAGGGCTTTCGAGCGATTCCGACACGCACGCGCGAGAGGCCCGCTTGGTAGCAAGTTATGAACATGTTTGAAAATATCATTAAGAATTCGCAACACATGCCCGAACGCAAGTTGTGTTTGAACGTTTTTTTGTTGCGAAGCCGTGTGTTTGTTGCATGTTTCGGCACACTCGATTTTGAAATCCGTACGAAACCTAAGGTTGTTGAAGGATGTAGGTATGCGCGCGACGACGCGCGCGCGCGTGTGCACTTCGTTGCATTATTTGCTCAGGATGTTTGAAAACTTGTGATTGGTGATACGCGAGTGTGCGCGCAGAGCCTCTGTTGCAGAGGATGACGGGGAGGGCCGATGCCAGCCTGCCTGGGTTGGTACGAAATCGTTTTCAGGATATACGATGGGGGCGAGTCATATGTAATTTGCAATACGAAAGGGGGGTTGTTAAGTCCAGGGTGGGGGAGATCCGAATATTCTTTCAGAGAGAAAAATCTACGTGGTCCAACCCACGTGGTGCGATCTATGTTGTCCCATGTATGTTGTGCAATGGGTGTCGCGCGACCGATGTTGCGCAATCAATGTGGTGACATCTGTGTTTGCAGGCTACGTGGTGCAATATTTGTGGTACGGTCTATGCTGTGCAAGCTACGTGTTGCAATATATGTGGTGCGATCTGTGTTGTGCATTATACGCAGTGCAACCCATGAGGTGCGATCTGTGTTATGCAGTCTATGTTGTGCAATACATGTTGCCATATACGCTATGCAATCGATGTGGTGCAATATATCTGGTGCAACATATGCGGTGCAAACTTTGCGGCGCGATCTATGCGAGGCGGCGACGGCGGCCACATAGCCTCAAGACCGGCCGTCAGGCCCAGACGGCGGGCGGCGACGAGGCGGCGACGGCGCGGCGGCGGCGGCCACATAACCGCCAGACAGGCCGTCAGGCACACTTCCTCAGAAGAGAAGGAAGATGCCCTAAGTACAAACACCGTTTGGGGATTTATCCGAATGATGCCTTGATCAACGACGAGCTGCTAGTCGTCGATGAGGCAGCCGTAGGGGTTCAGCCAAACGGTCTGCAGTCAAAGTCGCATTCGGGAAGAAATAGGGGGACAGATGCCCAGGCTCGAGACAGAAAGTGGATGGCCCTTGCAACGCTTAAGTTGTATTAAGAATGGAACATTTCACGCGCATGTGAAGCCAGTTGCGTTGGTGATGAGCGGCGTGGTTGGCCAGGCCAGAAGGTCCAAAGACGTGTGTGAAGCTACAGACACACGGGAATATCTTGTAAGTTGGAGGATGGAGGGTGGTGGGATGGAGATGTCACTATGTGACGACGTCCGCGACCGCACTGGGTGTATTATACAGAGCTGGCGTGGCCTGGGAGACTGGCCGTTCTTGATAATTCGCCATTGGAGGCCAATGCTCGCACATTAGTTTGTCGATCCTTCTCTTTGTCAAGGGCTGCATGTGGTGCGTTCTGATTGCAGAGCTGGCGTGGTCTGATGAACCTGCCGTTCTATCGCTATTCGCGTGAGAGTGCGAAATCCTTATCATCTGAGCTTCCCAGAGTGCGCATGGTCTTGGTGACTGGCTGCTTCTGGTAGCCCTCCTTGGTGTAAGCTGATGAATGTAGCTCCTCTTCCTTATTACGCAGCTTCTCTTCCTCGGCCATGTTGGCTCAAGACGATTCGGCTCGCAACGTTGTGGTGCCAGAAATGCAGATAGAACAGCATGTGCTGGTATATACTTGAGGAGATAGGCCGAAGACGTTCCCGCGAATGCTAGAGCTCTGGCGGGCGGGGCAGTTCCGGCAATGGGCATACGGGAGCAAGTTGGGGGGCCCAGCGCTGAAACTCCAGAAGAATCTGTCATCAGCATTGAGCGTCTCACAGCCAGCATCGAGACGGAGGCGGTTTGCAGGCCGCTCCCCCCTGACGATGTCAAGCTCATGGCCAGAAGCATGCAGCGGGTTGACTTCCTGGCCGGTGAAACTGTCTTGAGGGTGGGTGAAGCGGGCACCCATTTCTATGTGTTGGTCAGTGGCAGCGTAGACGTGCTTCAAGACGGAGTTGCGTGCCACAGGCTTGCTTGCGGTGGCACCGTAGGGGCGGGGGCCCTGACCGCCGGGCACGGAGAACCGCACGACGTCGTGGCGCGAGAAGACACCATCGCCTTCAGGAGCGACGGCGCAGAGTTTCTCAAGATTATATCGGGGAACGCATTGCGCACTGGACCCGAGAATAGCTGCTTGGTTGGCAGAGTACCACTCTTTCAGTTCCTACCAACGTGGGCGAGGGGGAATATCAGCGATCTGACTCCGCACATGGAGATCCTTGAAGCTGGTGAGTTTGTTGCCCAAGAGGGGCGAAAGGGCTTCAACAAATTGCGCATCCTGAAAAGTGGCAAACTGAACTACCGGCGCAAGACAGAGAACTGTCATACCCTCAGAAGCTTCGAGCCTGGGGACGTTGTCGGTGCAGGCACACTCCTTCCTTGGCGGAAGGACTGCGGCGCTGCGGCCACAGTCGAGGCCGAGTGCAGGAGCGAGATTCTCTGCATCTCTCATCAGGACTTGAGAGCCGCGCTGCACGACGATACTTTGCTGGTTGAATTGGTCCAGCGGACCTTCATGGTCATGGGCTTGAACCAGGTGAAGATCCTTTCTGGTCTCTCCAGAGCTCACAAGATTCACCTCGTCAAGGCCATTGAGGTGAGGGACTACCCCCCTCACGAGCTCATTGACACTGGCACCAGCAGCAGCAGCGTGCAGTACGCCCACGTCTTTCACGGCTCGCTGCGCTCGCAGGACGCCAACCAGGAGATGGAGCTTGGCAATGGCCAAATCTTTCTCGCCCCTGACTGGGTCGCGGCTTGCTTTGGGAAGAAGGTGCCATGCGTTGGGGAAGAGTGCCCCAGCGAGAGGGGCTACTCGAAATCGGTGTCGCCAGAGGTGCGAGGGAACTTGTTTGCCGGTCCGACCGGGTGCAAGATTGCGCTCCTCACCAGGGGCAGCCTCACGGCAGCACTCGCCGATCTCGGCGTGTCGCCCATCGTCGACGACCTGGAGGACACCACGGAGCTGGCAGAGGGCATGCTCCTGGCGAACCGCATCCCGATCCTCCGGCACCTCTCCCGGGAGCAGGTCCAGACTGTTCTCAGGTCCTTCGTGCCCAGGCGGTACGCCAAGGGCTCCCGCGTCATCGAGCAGGGCGAGCTGGGCACCTCGCTCTACGTGGTGGCCTGCGGAGTGCTGGAGGTTCGGATCGGTGGCACGGCCGTGCGCACGGTCGGCAGGAATGGCAGTTTTGGCGACCGTGGTCTGCTCTTCGAGGAGCCTCGCAGCGCGGCAGTCGTTGTCCTCAGTGACACGGCGGTGCTGTGGTGTCTGGAGAAGGCAGATTTTGTTCCGGTGCTCACGGATGATCTGCGGTCAGAACTGGTGAAGCGGATGGAACTGCAAGATACCGATGTCGAGCTCAGCGATCTGACAAATATCCGCCTCATCGGAGAAGGCGGCTTTGGGCGCGTCTCCATGGTGCAGCACAAGAAGACGGGTCTCAGGTATGCTCTGAAGCAGGTCCGCAAGACGGGCCCGCAGGGCCAAAGGCAGGCACAGCTGGCCATCCGCGAGTCCGAGTTTTTAGCCGAGATGGATCATCCGTTCACGCTGCAGCTGGTGAAGACGCTCGATTCCAACAACAGCCTGTACATTCTGACAGACTTGATAACCGGCGGCGACCTCTACACCGCGGTGCTTCACGTAAGGAGGCCGCTGACCAACTGCGAGGCTCAGTTCTATGTTGGTTCGTTGCTACTGGCGCTCGAGCATCTGCACGACCGTGACATTGTCTACCGCGATCTCAAATTGGAAAATGTGATGCTTGATGACCGAGGCTACATTCGGCTTATCGACTTCGGTATTGCCAAGCGCCTGGACGATACTGGGCGTACCTTCACTTGCGTGGGGACCCCGCACTACATGGCTCCTGAGATGCTACAAAACCATGGATACGGTACAGAGGTTGACGTTTGGGCATTAGGCATCATGCTGTATATCCTTGTCTGCAGGAGGCTTCCTTTTGGCCACATGGAAACCGACCCTGCGCAGATTCGGAATAGCGTTCTGAAAAGCGACCTGGCGTTCCCACAAAAGTACAAGGACCAGTGGGGAAGAGAGCTCATCCAACGCCTGCTCTGCCGGATGCCAGCGCACCGGCTCGGCGCGGGCATTGACGGGCTTGACGAGGTCAAGCAGCACGCGTATTTCAGGCTGTCCAGCGGCACGAGTCTCTTCGAGATGATCATCCGCAGAGAGTTCATGCCGCCGATTGTCCCCGAGGGCGAACGCTACTCAGGGTCAAAAGCGCCTGATCATGGATTCAGCATTGATGCGGCTCGTCACGCAGATGTGACTGCACATGCAGACCAGGCTCAAGGGTAGCAGCACCTACACCCGCGCACTTCCAGCGCGACGCTTTGACATGGCTTCTTTTCGACGGCCTGAGACAGGGCCCGACGCAGCACGGCACCGAGGATCCAGCAGAAGACGGAGCCAGTGCGGCATGCGCGCCTCAACAGGTTGGCGGCCGCGCGATGACGAACCACGCATGGAGTTGACACATTTCCTCTCTCTGGCCCCGCTTCGTTACACCTCATCCTTTTCCTCCACCTCCTCCTCCTCATCCTCATCATCAGCAACAGCAGCATCATCATAAACAGCAGCATCATCATCAGCAGCATCGTCATCACCATCACCAGCATCAGCATCAGCATCAGCATCATCATCGTCGTCATCATTGTTAACAGCATCATCACCATCATAATCAGCATCAGCATCATCTGCAACAGCAGCATCATCTTCCGAATCCTCATATTCATCCTCATCCTCATCCTCACCCTCCTCTTCCTCCTTCTCCTCGTTCTTCTCCTCCTCGTCTCTTCTTCCTCCACCTCCTCCTCCTCCTCCTCCTCCTCCTCCTCCTCCTCCTCCTCCTCCTCCTCCCTTTCTGTACGCAGCTTGCCTGGTCCGCGCGCGTTTTGTAGCTGTCGTCCCGACGCAGCTGTGGCAGATCATGAGGCTGGCACAAGACCTTCGGAGGACCACTGAGCGCGTTGACTTTGTCCTCGGAGACGGAATCTTCCAGTGCCGGCTCTGACTTCGCTACTCCTGCGGCATCCCGAGGCGGCATCGTCCAGGCGACCGGCCGTCCGCATTTCTTTGCCCGACGCGGCTTCCCTCGCGTTTGTTGCAATAACAGCCAAAGAGAGAGAGAGAGAGAGAGAGGAGGAGGAGGAGGAGGAGGAGGAGGAGGAGGAGGAGGAGGAGGAGGAGGAGGAGGAGAAGGAGGAGGAGGAGGAGGAGGAGGAGGAGGGAGAGAGAGAGACAGAGAAAGGGCCCCCTGGAGGACCCCAGGACGGCCAGGGAGAGCCCCAGGATGGCCAAGGCGGGCCGGAGAGCGTGCAGGAGCCCCCCGAGAGGTCCCAGGGAGGCGCGCTGTGGCCCCGAGGTGGCCCCGAGAGGCCGCACGGGGGCCACAGAGGGGGCCCCAATACGCTTTGGCATCGCTCGGACGTGTGCAGTTTTCCTTCGGCGAGGACCATCGAGGAGCATCCTTGATCATTTGGCGAAAAAAACACGCACGAGAACGAAAAAAAAAAAGAACAGGGAATGGACGTCCGAGCGATGGCGAGTACGGGCCTTGCGGGGCTTGAGCGCCAGAGAACAGCTGCAAGAGGGCCGATTGAGAGCCCCACGACGGCCGACTGTGAGGCGTGCGAGGAGGGAGATGGAGAAGAGGAATACGGCAAGGAGGTGGGAGGGAGGGGAAGGTCGAGGGTGAGGGGGGGAGGAAGTGTGCTCCTGGGTCTCTTGTATGCTAGCTCCTGCTTCCCCTCCTTTTCGCGCATCCTACTTCCCCGATCCGTGTTTAACATTTTTTCCCTTGGAGGAGGAGGAGGAGGACATGGAGGGAGTAGAAGAGGCAGGGAGGAGGAAAAGAAGGTCGAGGGAGGAAGAATATTAAGGAGCATGAGCATGCACCCATTGAGTTGCAACGTTGATTTGCCGATGCGGGGAAGGTGGAGGAGGGACGCTGAGGATAAGAAGGCGACAAAGTAGAGGGGAGGGAGGAAGGGACGGAGGAGGATTACCATCAGGAGCAAGAGCAGGAGATAAAGGAGCAGGACAACGAGGGACGACGGAGGAGCAAATCTGGGAGGGAGGAGGGGGGAAGGGAGAGAAGGGGTGGTTGAAGAAAGGCGGATAGGAGGTGTGTTTGATGGTCTGGCGATCGATATCGTGTTGTAGTCGTCCTGCTATCCGCCTCGTGAGCGCCCCCACACGCCCCTAACACACTTCGGGAGGAGAACGCACGAGGGACAGCGAGGAGGCCAGGAGGCAGAGGTGGAGGCGGAAGCGATACCTCGTTGTGGTTCTGGCCGCGCACTGACGCGAGGAGCCAGCCCAAAACAGAACCAGCGCAGGCGCGCGCCCCACAGGGCAGCCACAGCCCAACCTGTCACAGACCTACGGGGGCCCGTGGACCTTAGGCTCGTCCCCAATCCATCTCAAGTGCTAAAGGTGTCGCTGGTAGCGAGGGAGTTTGTCCCATGTTCTTATACAGCGTCCTCCTCCTGGCCTGCTGCAGCAAAGTGTACTCCTTTTTTCCATCAGTTGGGAAGCAGGCAATTTGCACGCACAGGCGCCGTGCTCTGATTCCCTCCCTCCTCCCTCCTTCACGCGGGCGGGCGGAGGATGGAGCAGGAAGGACGAAAGACCCAGAGAGAGAGAGAGAGAAGGACGAGAAGGGAGGGGCATGATAAAAGAGCGACCAGCGAAAAAGGGGGAGGGAAGGAACTAGAGGCAGGAGGAGGTGGGGGGGGCAGGCCTACTTAGCAGAGAGGCCTGCTGAAAAGAGGTCAAGACACGCGCAGGACAGGCATGACCACAGGCAGCCACTCTGCTGCGACGCTGACCTGATCCGCGCTAGGACCTAACCGCGCGCGAAGCGTGCGCGTGGTGCTAGCGTGTGCACATGCGGACAGATTGGTACCCGGCTGCTTGAGGCAAGCCTCGCCACCGTGCCAGCCCACCATGTGCGGCGGCGACGGTTCGAGGGGGGCAGAGGAGGCCGCCGCGGGAGAGCCGTGGTGCGGATGATGAGGGTTCTGAGAATGGTGGTGTTGTTGTTGTTGTTCAAGGTTGTGATGGTGGTGGTGCCGGTGATGCTGATGATGATGCGGATGAGATGGTAAAGTTGGATGGTACTGGTGAGGAGACGATGATGATGCTGGAGGAGGATGAAAATGATGATGCTGTTGATATGGTGCTGGTGATGGTGATGGTGATAGTGATGGTGGTGATGGTTGCGCTCTTTATGATGATGTTGACGGGGACGATGGTGACGATGATGATGATGATGCTGATGACGATGGCGATATGATGATGATAATGGTGATGGTGATGATGATGATCATGATGATGCTGATGGTGATGTTGATGATGATGGTGGCCATGATGATGTTGATAGTGGTGGTGGTGGTGATGATGGTGGTGATGATGGGTGGCATGATGAAGATGTTGATTATGATGATGATGATGATGATGATGATGATGGTGATGGTGATGGTGATGGTGATGGTGATGGTGATGGTGATGATGATGATGATGATGATGATGATGGAGATGATGATGGTGATGATGGCGATGGCGATGGTGGTGGTGATGGTGATGATGATGGTGATGGTGGTGATGATGATGAGGAGGAGGAGGATGGTGGTGCTGCTGCTGGTGAGGAGGAGCAGGAGGAGGCGGAGTAGGAGAAAGAGTAAGGCCGTCACTTGTGACACCTGTCGTCTTCACCGTGTGAGGAGCTCTGATTAAGCGCGGCTGGGCCTTCTCGGGGCTCTCATGGGCCGTCTTGGAGTCGTATCGGCCGTATAGTGGGTGTCTGGGGCCCGTCGTGGGGTCGTCGTGGCGCCGTCTTGGGCCGTCGAAGGGCCTTCTCAGACCGTCTTGGGTCCCACGGGAGGCCCGCTTGGGCCGCCTTGGGCTCGTCTTGGATGCCTCTTGGACCAACGTGGGGCTCTCTTGTGCAATGGTGGGACCCTGGTGAGGGCTTCTTGGGCCACCATGTGGCCATCGTGGAGGCTTCTCGGGCCGTCTCGAGCTGACGGAAGCCCGAAAATTCCAGAATGTCAAAAAATGCCAAAACTTGAAGGACATCGATCATCTTGGCCTCTCTGGACCTTGTTGGAAATCCTCTTGTGGATTCGCGCGTCTTCTTGGAGGCATCCTGGGCCGTCTTGAAGCAATATTCGGACGCATTGGGGCCATTCTGGGCCGTCTTCGAGGCATCTTGGGCCATCTTGGTGTCTTTGATTGCCTGCATGTGCCGTCTTGGCAGCTCGGACGCGAATCGTTTGTATCGAGGGATCGTGGCCTCTGGGGGGGGCCCATCGTCTTTTACGAGTGATCGTTGCCTCGGGAGAGAGGGCGATACATGCAGGGAGATGCGTGTAGGGGAAAGTCCCAGATTAGAATACAGAAACCCTACCAGACAGCCCTCGGCATTCTTCCACGCCCCAGCGTGCCCAAAGGCACGGTGGCGGATACACCACATCTATGTTCGCCCACCCGATCCGACCTCGCGATCGTATTTCCGCGACGCCGCCACCCGAAGATCTCGCAACGCCCAGCCCGTTTGGCCCGGCTCGCTTGCGCGATGGCCCGCCCGCGTTGCTGCGCAGCTCGCCGCCCGCTCGCTGGGGTCCGCCCGCGTTGCGTTGCGTTGCGCCCGATCGAACAAGTCGGCCCTGTGCAGAGCTCGGGAGAAAGAACAGAAATGCGCCGTCAGAGCTGCACGTCGTCAAACCAACGACGCCGCGGCCGGCCTCTGGCACGATGCGCCCGCCCGGCCCGCCTCGTTGGAGCCCGCCCGCCCAAAAATACCCCGGCGAAGGGGACCCCTCGGCGAGGCGGGCCCCCGGCGGCACCGGGACGGGCGCGGAGGGCTCCCGGCGAGGCGGGCTCGTGGCGAGGTCTTCGGGGGCGGCAAAGAGGGAAAAGTGATGACTAGGGGGGAGGGTGGATATCGTAGGGGGACAAAAAGTGGCATGAAAATCAAAACTCGGAGGTCCGCGCGGATTTCTCGGATCGGCGCTGGGGCCCCCCTCCCTGGCGCACGGAGCGCGCCAGGGGCGGCGCCGGAGGCGCCGCCGGGGGGCCCCAGCGCCGATCCGAGAAATCCGCGCGGACCTCCGAGTTTTGATGTTTATGCCATTTTTTGTTCCCCTAAAAGAGGGGGGTGATGACCAGAGGGGGTGGATATCATGGCGCGGGCCATGATATTTCCCCAGATCTCATGGCGCCTCCTGGGCCGCGCACATGCCGCCGGCCATGATTTGCGCCCCCCCCTCTTGGACGCCCCCCTCTTGGCCGCCCCCCGAGGTCTCGATTCGACCTTTCTCCCGGGGAGCGTTGCCAATCTCGAGCCATTCTGGACGGAAGCCGCGCCCGAAGAAAAAGGCGCGCGGGGATCACAAGTTGAAGGAAGACGGGCCGTGTCGCTGGGCCGTCCGTGTCGCAGTGCTGTCGCGGCGCTGGACTCTGACGTCTCCAGATGCCGCTGGCGGCCTCCGAAGGCCAACACGTACAAGATCTTGGATCTTCGAATGTCGACCTTCCTG